AATAGTATTGTTTAGTTACGTACACACACACACACACACACACACACACACACACACACACACACACACACACACTCTCACTCACTGACTGTATCTGAGGAACACCTTGACCAAAATGACCCCAAGGTGTATCATTAACTCGACCCCAGCCCCATATGTGGCACAGCAATGTTACAATGAGGTAGTAATGCCACCATGATTAAAGTTACACCGGGATTTCCATTTTAACAGGGATGAGTGATCTTAATTGTTTTCACTGCTTGATTATCTTCTGTAACAGTTTCGAGGTGGAATATCACTGAGGTTTGCAACTTTTAAAAAGGACCATCTGACTAATACTTTTCTATTGTCTGACACTTCATTTGGACTTCCTTTTTACAGAAGCTTTAGCACTCTGAGAGGTGAAACTGATAAGTGTACACTGCATGAATTGTAGAAAGTTGAAAGTTTTTCATTACAAACAAGTTACTGTATACTGGCACAATATATAGTCAATGTGGGCCTTAAGCCAGTCCTCAGAATAGGGCTCTCTGTGATGAGTGTATTTTAATGCTCAGCAACCCTTTTTGATCATGCTGCTGGTGAGAGTTGCAGCAGTTGGCCTTTCTTTTATTGTGCTGATTGTTAAGGAAAAGGGTGAGGAGCATGCTATGTGATTAAAACTAAACACATTGCATGCTGTTTACTTGGAGTCTTTCATATTCCCTCTATGTAATGCACTTTCCTTGACAGTACTTCATTAAAATAAAATCTGAGTATGCATGTGCATTTTAGAGCACTTTGAAATGTCAACTCTTAAACCAGAAGCTTCTTTGAGGACAAAACCTTCAGGAGCCCCTGAGTATGCCCACGCAGAGCAACTAATATGCACAACATACATTTCTTCAGTTGTCAAGGGCAGGGGCGCGACTCCTAATTCACAGTATTTAGGTGCAATTCAGATTCAATACCACTTGTTATTTTAAGCCACCCACTTGGGCTGCCTGAAAATGTTCTGACTAGATAGACACCCAGTCCTGCTGCGCATGTGCAAATGCCTTTCTCTTTGGCTTAACAAGGTGGGTGAGGTAATACCTTTTATTGAACCAACTTCTGTTGGTTAGAGAGACACGCTTTTGAGCCACACACAACTGGCTTTGTGCTATATGGTGTATCCACCTCAAATAACATTTTTAATGGTTCCTCAAATTGCTGTGGATGCCAGACACTGGCTGAGACCAATCCTAAGTGGGAGATACCAGTTTGACTTGGTTCCCCATAGTTTGAGCCCCAGGTATGTGCATAAAATGTTATGAAACTTTTTTTGTTTGAATATGGGAATCCCCTCATCAAGTGTCCTTACATTTTAAGCACCAACCCCACCTTGATCCCCTTGAGATACAGCGATTTTCAACACAATTTAAGTAAACTCGTGGATTTTAGGGCACTTATACTCTTTCACACATGAATTTCTTACTAGTCTTAACCTTAAATATATATTGGTGCTACTGTAATACTGACAGATTCTGGTCATCATTGGCCAGGATCAAACCTCAGACTTCTGGAGCTTAATGCCTGAGCTGCTACTGCATGAGCTAAAAGACACATCTGTCTTAACCAAAGCTGTAGCAGGCTCGTCAATCTCTTGCTGGTCTAGCCGCTGCTATGGGGGACAAAGTGCCACATCAAACAGGCCTGGGTTACACTACCACCATACACAAACATTTTTTTATTACTTTTACCCAAAGTAACAACTTTATTCATTTTCAAATCGAAACTATAATGTGATGACAATCTTCTCTACAAAGTGTAATTACATGCTGATAGGTTAAGGGAACATTTCCTGTCCATCTATTCAATCTTTCCATTTCCATTCAGTGACTGGATTGAGCTTTTTAAAATTTATTGAATGGATGCTGCCCTTCTACACGTTGATTTGTATATGAAAGCAATTATGAGAAGGGAGAATAAGTCAGGTCCTATAGTGTTCAGGGGATGCTTTTTTTTCCCTCCACCTCTGGATTATTATTATTTTTTAAATGCTTTCAATATTGGGTTCTGCCTCGTCACCAACATCAGCACTTCCTTGAACTGGCAGGAGCCCAAGAAGTTAGTGAAACAGGAAGACCAAGTAGTCATAATTTTCCAAATTGCTGCTGCTTCCTGGAGGAGGCACTATGCTATGTGGTCACAAACATGGCCCTCTGCTGGTGCTGAAGACAGTCATGTGGGATAGAAGGAGACAGACAATGAGAGAATAGGCATGAAACTCTCCCAAGGATGATACCTCAACCTGAAAAATCCACAAATGATTTTTAAAGAAGATTTGATTGGGAGCCTTTTTAAAATAAATAAAGCAAGCTCTACTGGTTGATTAACTGATCTTGTCACTGTCAGGTTGTAGCTGGGGCTGTTATTCTTTATGTAGTCACTGTCAGCCAGCTCCCCACTGTTCCAAAGCCGCCTCTTTGTTGTTTTATATGCAAAAGCACCAGTTAAGACAGTCAACTACTGCAGACTGTTTGTATCGCATTATAGTGTATAACAAAGAAAACAAAACCCCTAGAACATCAGGGGTCTGGCTGGCACTGTAAATACGCACAGGACAGCAATGCCAGCTGCTCCCTGCTAGTGGCTAGGTCAGCCAATTTGGTTTTTGACACTCTTTCTCTCCCCCCCCCCCCCCAAGATTGTGTGTTCAAGAAAAGGGCCAACTCATGGCAGAAAGCACAAGGCTGAAGTTTGAGATGAGACTAGGAAAACATGGGAATTGTAAATGGGCCCTTTATGTTCTGGTCATTTCTTTTTCTGTCAGCTGAAGTCTTCCAATGATTCTTTTATCGAAATAAAATTCTTCCATACCAGCATTTTTTCCCCAAGAAAAAAGACTGCTTATAATAAAAAGAGCAACATCTTGGCTATACAGATGTATGTGCTTTGGGGTTGGATTTAAATTATATGAGAAAATAAATAGCAAAATATACTGATGGTGCGTATTGAATCTCAGTGCTATACAAAATGTTTGGACATTGGTGAATAAGGAAACAAAGATCATCAAGTAGCTTTCCTTGTCTTTTGTTCTGGTCAGTGTGCTGAACGCTTTTGGTACAACTAAAAATTTTCAAAACCTTCCATGGTCTGAAATTGTGCTAATCCTTGAGTCTAGCAAAAAACAAGCAAACAGTTGTTTGAATTTTACTTTGAGCAGGTTTCATTTGCATGTGTCAAATATTTCATCTAAGTAGCAAGACATCTGGATCATCAAGTAGGTACAAGCCATGGAGATTGTAAATCCCAGTGTGCATTGCTCCAACTTGGCCCAAGCAAAACTACCTCAATCAAAATGAAATATTGTGTGTTGAGGGCAGTAGTCTTCAAAATACAGATTTGGATGAAAGTGAACTTGCTTTGGCTCAGTCTGGTGTAGTGGTTGGTTGGCAGATGCTGGCTACTGTTTTGACTGAGAGGGTGTACTCACCCTTTTCCAGTGAAGGTGGCAGTTTATGGATGTCATAGGGTGTAGCTGCCCTATATCATCCTCTTCTGGCCAAGTGTGTCACAGTAGGTGCTTCCTGCCTCCATTTGGGTGTTCCCTGTCTTTCAAAACATACCTTCCAAGTCCCTTGCTCTGGTGAGCTGTCCTGGGGCCTTATCTCAGGAGTTTCCTGTCTCTGACCCACCCCAGCTGTTCCAGGCTTATTAGTTAATCAGAAGCTAGCCAGCCAGCAAGGGATTTAATTACTTCCAAATGGGTCTGAGTTGGCTTGTTCTCCCTTAAAGGAGCACATCACAGGTAGTCTGCTGCCTGACTCCCCTGAAAGGGCCAGCCCCCAGGTCAATGTGTTTTGGGGATTCCTGATTGGTCTTGGAGACTCAGTAGCCAAAAGTGCCTTTTTCCATTGGTTCTTGGCATAATGGTG